AATATGTTAATTAATAAATTGCATTATTTTCCCAATTTTATGGCATTAATAATTATAACATTTCCATTTGTACTGTAAGTAATGTATTAGATTTATATTTATACATTTTATTAATTGATATTTTGAATTTTACAAATATAAAATTATAATAAACAAATCACCAGTTTGATTTATTAAAATTGCATTAGTATTGTATTTATAAATTTTAAGATAATTTTTAGTAAATAACAATTTATGTACAATTAATTACAAATATTTTATTACTAATTCAGATGGATAATAGGCATAGTCCAGGGTCAAATATATCCATTTCTACCGTACGTCAGTGACACGGGTATATCACCACCGGGTGGATCACTATTCGCACTCACGATGAACACGGGCGCCATAATTACCATCATATTTAACATTATTAGATACGAGTCCATCAAGACATACATACCTTTAAATAGCAATTCAAACGACACCCCATTAATTGTGACACTAAATAGGCGCTCCCTGTTTACTGGCTTATGTATAGTCATTGGATTCATATTAGTGGGCAATTTTCGGGCCGCCGAGAGTGTACTGGTGCTGTCGGTGCACACTATAGGAGCCATAACAACCTTCGTGTCCACCATCTATGATATGAACCTCCAGAGTCGGGTCGCCTCCGAAATGGGTGACAAAAGTACGGCTCGATTCAGACGATTATTGGCTATATTTTCAACGGTGTTAATGATAGGAAGCATATCCCTGTCCATATGGGCGGGTGTGCTGTTTCCCGATGCCTACGACACCGAAAGGAGACTCTTGTGGGACAGTAGTCAGAGTGGGTTTGTACCCCATGTGATGGCAACGGTGTTGGAGTGGGCGTTGATATTCATGTTGTGCCCATACTTTCGCTCATATGTTATGGAATTCAAGCGTTTTTCGCTTTCATTGTCTTTAATAGACTTAAGAAATAGAAATGAAATTAATGTTATTTCAAATATAAGCTAAATCTTAGTTATTAATTTTAAAGTACAAATATTGTATAGAGTAAATGGCTGGATAATTTTTTATTAAAAATAACAGTTTATGTTACAATTATTTCTAAATATAACGAGTTTAACAATTTATAACATAAGCTTATTAGTAACAAATATTAATATATTTGAGATCTATCAATTTTACATTTAATCTTGAATAATTTAGGTTTTTAAACAAAATTCTTTTAAATTAAGTATGATTTAGATTATTTTTTTTATAATAACATTCATCATGCATCATTAAAATAACTATTTGTTTTATAAAATTAATTACAAATTATTCAAAATTTTAAGTTATAAAATATGATTGCAAATAATGATTTAGATTATGTACCTGGATCTCGATAGACTTTCATAAAGCTAGTCTTAAAGTTAAAAAATATTTTAATAAGTTTTATAAAGTTAACTTGAGAGATTAATTATAATTGCTTAACATAAATAAAAGCATAATTATTAAATCCTCACTGAAATAATTTATGCTAGTAAAATAACTATAAATAATTTTAAGTTATAATAAATATATTTATTATGTGAGACTTTAATGCAAACCCATATTTTAACTTTGCTTCAGTTGACTGATTACACTAATAACATGTACAACCTATGAATGAAGCAATCAAATGTAGGTTTTGTTTTAATATCTCTTAAATGTTAGGCAAATGTGAGGCTCCTTTCGATGTCTTTGAAAATCCCCTCAAAGTTATAGTAATTTACTTGAAATCCTTCTACCGTTTAGGTATTAGAGAGATACACCACTCATAAAAAAGTAGTTAACCTTAAAACTAAATTGTTTTGCAAATAGTTTTTGTGCTCATATAATGGCTGATAGTTAACTGAAAGTAAATGACAAAATCGGAAAAAGTAAAACTGCTATTTTAGTTTAATTTGCAATTAGCGTTNCAATGGCCTGAATGGCGGCTCTTTGGCTGTTGCCGTTCGGCGTCTCCATAGTTACGCCTTTGTGTTGTCTTTTGCCGCAAGTCTTCGCGAATCTCTTGTAAACTCTTTTAACACTTGTCTCGCCTTCAGATACGTGTTGGCCGTCACTAATGGTCACGTGACACCTCTTCTGCCCTACATTTCCGATTCCGGCGGTCTTTCGCCCGAAGCGTCGCTTTTCTCACAACTTCTCGATTTCAACGCAATTCTCAGTAAACGAGAAAAACGTCAAAAACCAGAAAATAACTCTTTTTTCTTACAGTCTTCGGCACGGCTTTCGTCCGCTTCCAACGCCTGCGCGCGCACTGCGCCCAAACCCCCGGACGGCGCCTCCTGAACGGCTTGGGTCTGGCCTTCGCCTCCTTGTGCTCTTTGGGCGCCATCTTGATGGGCAACTTCCGTCAGACGGAACTGGTGTTCGGTCACGGGATCGGAGTGTCCGTCGGCTTCTCCTTCGCTCTCGCCTTCCTCTTCGTGCAGGTATTAATAGGCCTTCCCTCCTCTCCCGACTCTCACTCTTCGGTCACTCTTAGGCCCGCCTCTCGTCGTCGGTGCGTTTGGCGCGCATTCGGTTCGCGCTCTTCTTTCTCGCGCTCTTCTCCGCCGCTCTGATGACGGCTTTCGGCGTCCTTTCCGTCGCTTCCGTTTCCGTCTCGCGATTCCTCGATAAAGACTTCCGGTTGCAGTGGTCGCGCGCGGACCCCGGATACGCCAGTCACGTGGTGTCGGCAGGGGTTGTGAGGTGCGGAGAGAACGACTTCACTTCGAGTGTCGCGATATATGACGTATCGATAATCGATAGGTTTGGTGACAATTTTGGAGACAAAAGGATGACATAATGGGAGAAGAATTGGTTGCGGAGAACGCGCACTGATTGAGTGAATGAGAAGAGAGTTCATTTGAAACCTGTTTGAAACCTGTTTCGCGCAACAATCGACACTTCGGGCGATGGATTGACTTTCGGGCGAACAATGCGCTGAAAGCCGGCGGCGAGAGAAAGGAATTTCCGAACGCAGCGATTGTCGTCTCTCGCGATCGGAGTGAACGCCCCGTCGATAATGAGAGGCTGTCAGCGGATTCGCGGACATTGGATCGCGTGCTCGTCAGACGCGCCCATTGTTCGTGTCATTCACTCGGAGACGCGCGCGAAGAGAGCCGCGGGCGAGGGCTGACTGAAGGTCATGGGATCGCGCGGGCATTGTTGGCCGTTTCGCTCACCTTTTGTTGCGTTGTTTTCAACAATTGTTTTTTACACAGATTTTTGTATTCAAATGTGTTTTGTATTGAATTTCTTTTAATAATTGTTGCAAATGTTGTAAAACAAGAGAAAAACACATTTGAGTTCTGTTTTGAAATTAATTATTTTTTTGGCAAAACTTTCGCGATTTTGCGCGCATTTGGCGCAAGATTTGGACGCAAGACTTGGACGCGGAAGCGAAGAGAGGACTTCCGCTCGCGACACGTGTCACCGAAGGGATCAGTCTTTGGAAGCGCTTTACGGGTCGTTGACCTCGAATTCCGAGATCTAATCGCGAGACACACGACGAGAGCGCGCAGACAATCGGCTTATTGTTGGAAAACAAAAGACTTTTCGACGGATTAAAAGTCAAAAAACTTTTGAATAATTCATCGAAAGATTCGAAGCTTTTATTCAAAGCTTTCATTCGTTTCGAAAGCTTTGCAACGCTTTGAGTGACACGTGACGCGACCTCAGGTCAGAGGCAGTCGTCTCGCGGGACGAGTATTGTTGCGGAGGCGCTAATGAAGAGTGAGTCCAAGTCTCGCGAGATTTCTGTCTTTCAAAGCATTTATTTTTGCGACAAAACGACGAAAGCGTTCGAAACGCCATCTCTTGAGAGAAATCACGTTTCGCTCGACTTTTGCTCGAAAGGCGTTTCGGTCGCGAACTCCGCCGCTATTGTCGCGAAAAAGGGCGACAGCGAGAGAACGGCCGTCCACTCGAACAGCGCCGACACCACGTGACTGGCGTATCCGGGGTCCGCGCGCGACCACTGCAACCGGAAGTCTTTATCGAGGAATCGCGAGACGGAAACGGAAGCGACGGAAAGGACGCCGAAAGCCGTCATCAGAGCGGCGGAGAAGAGCGCGAGAAAGAAGAGCGCGAACCGAATGCGCGCCAAACGCACCGACGACGAGAGGCGGGCCTAAGAGTAACCGAAGAGTGAGAGTCGGGAGAGGAGGGAAAGAGTCTATTAATACCTGCACGAAGAGGAAGGCGAGAGCGAAGGAGAAGCCGACGGACACTCCGATCCCGTGACCGAACACCAGTTCCGTCTGACGGAAGTTGCCCATCAAGATGGCGCCCAAAGAGGACAAGGAGGCGAAGGCCAGACCCAAGCTGTTCAGGAGGCGCCGTCCGGGGGTTTGGGCGCAGTGCGCGCGCAGGCGTTGGAAGCGGACGAAAGCCGTGCCGAAGACTGTAAGAAAAAAGAGTTATTTTCTGGTTTTTGACGTTTTTCTCGTTTACTGAGAATTGCGTTGAAATCGAGAAGTTGTGAGAAAAGCGACGCTTCGGGCGAAAGACCGCCGGAATCGGAAATGTAGGGCAGAAGAGGTGTCACGTGACCATTAGTGACGGCCAACACGTATCTGAAGGCGAGACAAGTGTTAAAAGAGTTTACAAGAGATTCGCGAAGACTTGCGGCAAAAGACAACACAAAGGCGTAACTATGGAGACGCCGAACGGCAACAGCCAAAGAGCCGCCATTCAGGCCATTGTTAGTCGCGCTGTCGGCCGAACACTGGAAGCAAACAAACACTCGTCAAAGCCTTGAATGAGGAAAAAGCGTTTTAATCGCGATTTCGCGCAAACTCTCGACTTTTCGTCAACTTTTTCCTCAAACGCATCGTTCGTTCACTTCTTTCACTTCCGCTTCACTTGAAGACCGCTTTTCCGAACGACTTTTGCGAACGGAATCCGTGGCGCCATCTCTCGCGCGCGTCGATCGCACTCTCATTGGCGGCGCTGTCGGCGTCTCAGAGCTGTTCGAGTCGTCACTCAACGCATCGATCGCTTCACTCGTCAATCAATAACGTCGCGAGCGATGCACTCATTGAAGGCAAAGGGGACTCCGATTTGTGAGACGTTATTGACGGCCAAAACCTTAGCTCCAGAACTGTGTCTTCAGAAACGTCTCGAATATCGCAGAAAAGACATCAAATGGCGGACAACGCGGACACGAGTGGCCAATCGGCGCGCGGCGTGGGGGCCGCCCTCTCGCACTTGACTCACAACAAGACGGAAGCGGCACTTCTGCTGACGCGAGCGCTCACTCTCTTCTTCACAGTCGCGTATTTGGTGCCCGTCTTTGGTGTCAGTTCCGCCGCCGCCTATCAGAAGGCTTTGATGGCTTCGGCCGCCACTTCGGCGCTCCGTCTCCACCAACGACTGCCCGCCTTTCGGCTGTCGCGCGACTTCCTGGCGCTTCTGGTGGTCGAAGACAGCGCCCATTACTTGCTCTTCGCGCTCCTCTTCGCGACCAACGCGCCGCTCACTCTCGCGCTGCTGCCCATCGCGCTCTTCGCGTTCCTCCACTTCTGCGCGCAGTCACTGGCGCTCGTCGACCGCTGCGGACAAAGAGGTAACTAATTGTGCGGAAAGCTCTCGAACTCTAATCACGTGTTTGTCGTCCGATAGGCGCAATGGGCGGCGCGCTGTCGTCTGTCGTCGAGTCGTATCAGCGATCGATCCGTAAATATATCGTCGCCTGTAATGAATGACCGCTTATTTTGCGTCTCATTTACAGTACAAACCGTGGCGTTGACTGAAATCATGTTAATGCCGGCCGTCGTCTTTGCCGTTCTCTCCGGCGTCGTCTCTATCGTCGCGCCCTTTCTCTACTACCGCTTCGTCGCCCTGCGATACGCCTCCCGACGGAACCCCTATTCGCGGCAAATGTTTCACGAATTGCGGCTTTCCGTCCAACACCTCCTCTACCGCCCCCTCTGCCCCCAAATGGTGCGCAACGCCGGTCTCTCCGCCATCGGTCTCGTGGAGCGGTTGGCGCCGCCCGTGGCCTCCAATTGAGCGCCGCTTTTGAGTCACTTTTCTGTTGTTATTATTTAAACACTTTTTACACTTTTGTTGAATAAATCTCGAGTTCATTGAACTCTCACTCAAACCCCGACTCGAGAGATGGCAGCACTCGTCGCGCGACCGAAACGCAAGTGTTTTCCAAATCTGTTGCAAAAAGAGTTCAAAAACCGTTTGAAATGATTTGGAAATCGGTTTCCGTTTCGCTCTTTTGCCTCCTTTTCGGCCAATCAGTGGTCGTCTTCGCCGCGAAAGCCAATCGGCGCCCAATGGCGCTGCTGACCCCCAAACGCGCCACAATCCCGCGCATCGTCGGCGGACATCCCATCGCGCGCATGGAGTTCCCGTGGATGGCTTCCCTTCAGTACAACGGACAGCACTTCTGCGGCGCCGCTCTCATCGCCGCCGACTGGCTGTTGACGGCCGCCCATTGCGTGGACGCGTCGTCTCCGAAACCCTTCCAAGTCGTGGTCGGAGTCCACAGTCTGTCAGCGCGAGAGCCGACGGAACAGCGCGTCGACGTGCGCGAGGTTCGTCTCCCGTGACGTCATTTCCGCTTTCATTCCTTCACTTCCGCTCTCTTCAGGTCTTCGTTCACGAGAAGTGGAATTCGACCGCAATTTCCGACGATTTGGCGCTCATTCTTGTGGCGCGCGGAATTCGCTTCGAGCCGTCGGGCGCGCGACCAATCGCTCTGCCAAAGAGTCAGGAGTCCGTCAGTGCGGGCGTCGAGTGCGCGGCCACGGGTTGGGGTCTCACGAAAGCGAACGGTAGGAAAGGAAAGCCTCCGATTTGGAACCTTCGAACCGAAAGCAAGCCTTGCTTTCTTTGGAGCCTTTTTCGCTTCCCTTTTAACTCTTTATTCCCTTTCAGAGCAAAAAGTGTCGGATTTGCCGCAAAAGGTAATGTTGCCGGTGTTGGCGCGCGACCACTGCTCCCGCCTCTACGGCCAGAAGGCGCACATTTCGGCGGCGCAGGTGTGCGCGGGCGGGCGGGAGGGGCGCGGCATTTGCAACGGCGACTCCGGCGGCCCTTTGCAGTGCTTTCGCAACAATGAATGGCTTTTACTGGGTTTGGACTCTTTCACGGTGCCGTGCGCGCTCAACGGCTTCCCCTCTGTGTTCACGCGCGTCGCCCATTATTGGGATTGGATTTCTCGAGTAATCGAATTAAATTCAAATAAACAATAAATTCTCGCGATTTCTATGCCTTTGTTTGCATTCCATTAGAGAAACACTTTTCTCTCAACAATACTCTTAATTTCGAGAGCTCTCATAGAAAGCGCGCCAACACTGCGGGCGAGAGCTCTAATGGGTTTTAATTCTTGTGGCGCTTCCGGAGAGAGTGCGCGCGAGAGAGCGACGCGATTGGCGGAGAGGAGGAGTGTTTGCACGCGAAAGGAGCGCATTGTTGGACGAGAGCGTCAGTCGAGTTCGAGAGAGCGAGAGAAATGAGCGGAAGTTCGGAAGAAGAGAAGAGAGTAAACGGAAACCCGTTTTCAGAGACCGAAAGACGAGTCGAAGAAATGATTTGTCAGTTGAAGGCTTTGAGAGACGCGTTGAGAGCGGAGCGCGCGGTCAGTATTCTTGCGTTTCTCTCTTTTATAGGACTAAAGGCAAGAGTTTTGAATAATTAATGCGTTTTTAATTGCGTTTCAAAGCTTTGCTTAAAAACAATAGATTTGCGACTCTTTTGGGATTTCGGCGAATCTTTTGATGTATTATTCAATTGAAAGCAAAGACAATACTTTTCGGCATTTCTTTCATCTTTTATTCCTGTTTTAAGCCTAAAGAACGAGAGCTTTGTTTCGCCGACAAACCCTTGGATTTGAGTCGCGGTTCGCGTCCGCCGGCGCCCGAGAAGTGCTCGCCGTCGTCCACTGCGCAGTCGCAGTCACCGAAAGCGCACATAAAGCGACCGATGAACGCATTCATGGTTTGGGCGAAAGACGAGAGAAAAGAGATTCTCCGCGCGTGTCCTCAAATGCATAATTCAAACATCTCGAAGATTCTCGGCGTGCGCTGGAAGGCCATGAGTGCGCGCGACAAACAGCCCTTCTATGACGAGCAGACGCGGCTCTCGCGCCTCCATATGCTGCGACACCCCGACTATCGCTATCGCCCGCGACCCAAACGCACGTGTCTTGTGGACGGACAGCGACTGCGAATCGCCGAATACAAGGCTCTCATGCGAGCGCGGCGCCAGCACTCGCGGTAATGGGGGGGAGGGGGGAGCGGAGGGGAGAGAGAATTGCTTTCATTATTCTGTGCTTTCTTTAGGTTCTGTTCGGAAGAGAGAGGAGACGAGCAATAATGGTTTGCAGAGCGCGAAAGCATTTCCCGGTTTTGTGCATACATTTCAATATTTCATTCCCTTTGCTGTGATATTGTTTCTCTCGTGCTTTCTCTGCGAATAAACGACTTTTGAATTATTGACGAGAATTTGAATTTTCCTTTCGGTCACGAACTCAACATTCAAATGAAGGCATCAATAATGGATCGCGAGATAGAGTTATAACGGATTTATTGCTACTATTTGTCGAACAGAAGGTCTTTGTGTTTGAAAACGAATTCCGAGAAGTGATTGATTGCTGTAATGGATGGAAGAGTCGTCTCGCGAGAGTCCGACCACAAGAGATTCGGCCCGAAGACGATGGCCAGATTCGATGACGTCATCTTGTTCAGGTCCGCTCTGTCCATCACTTTCACCAACAGGTCCACGATGTAGCGCAGCAACTGAGGGGAGGGGGAGGGGTGAGCGCGAGAGCGGAGAGAGTGACTTCGACTCACCTTTTGGTTGTCTTTCGGGAGGCGTTGGCCGACGAGAGAGCGCGCGACGGCAACCTTCTCCTGATGGCGTCCGCCGATGGCCTGGAAGTCGATGACGTCGTCGTAGAGGTCAAAGGTGAGGAGAGGTTCGCGGAGGTCGCGCAGGAAGGACTTGAGGAGCGCGGCGGCCACGTGGACGCCCGAGTCCTCGCCGGCGACGCGCGAGAAGTCCACGTCTTGGCCGGCGTTGAAGCGTTGCTGCAGTTCTTGGACGGTCTGGACGTTCGCCGAGCGCCGGAACAGGCCTTCGGTGGACAGCGCGTCTTCGGTGGACAAGTACGCGACGCACGTGCGGACGACGCGCGGAATGGGATCGCCGTCGTTGTGGGCGACGAGACTGCGATGACGTCACGCATTAGTGGGCGGAGAGAGTGAGAGATGACGTCACTTACAATTGGAGCGAAACGCGGAACTGCTGTGTGTCTGGAGTTTGGCCGACAGAGGGCGCCAAAAGGGAGCGCCGTCTCGCGATCTTGCGGTCGTGGCTGCGGCGGAAGGGGGGTTAGTGGGCGGGGCGCGGGTCACGTGTCTACTCACTCGAGCAGTTGTTTGGGAAGCGGAAGTTGTTTGACGTGAAGAAATTGATTCAATTCTTCCAAATGAGAAATTGTGTGCACTTTTCGGCCGAACTTCGCGCTGCGGGAGAGGGGGTGAGAGGGGGCGGACAACCGGACAAAGACAGACCTGATGACTGGGCGGAAGACGTGGAACACGATTCGCACGAAAGACGTCGGGTGCACGAGAAGCAGCGCCTTCAGGTTCTTCTTGTACTTGCGGTCGAAGGCGCGGAAAGCCGTCCAAAGCCAGCGCACGGGCGGCTTGTTGTGGGAGTTGAGGCCGCAGTGGAAGTACACGAGAGTGTAATCGCTTTCCACGAACTGATCCAAAGTATGCAAAAGGTATCTGAAGGACAGGACGACAATGAGAGACGATAGACGACGCGCGCGACGACACTCACCGCAGAAATCGCATCCAATTGAAGGTTTTGCTGTCCGGCAGACGACACGCGTATATTGCGATCACTTTCCGCTAAAACAACGCAAATAACTGTAAATGAATTGACGGCTCAATTAGCGAATGTTTACCGCGAAGAGGTCATCGCCGGCCACTTCCACCACTCCATGACGCGCCACGTCCTCGAAGTCCTCTCTGTCGGGGTCTTCGGCGCCCAACGCCTCCTCGAAGTTGTCGTCCGCCGTCTGGAGGTAGGCGTGACTCAAGTCGTGGGACATCGCGTCGTCTTCGTCGTCGTCGTCGTAGTGCTGGTCGTCGTCCGAGTCTTTGTCGAGTTCCGTGTCGTCGAACTCGAGCGCGGGCTCAAAGTCGAGGTCCTGTCCGGCGATATTACACGACAGAGACGACAGAATGTCTTCCGAGTCGTCAACAACTGAAACGACGTCACCACTCGTTATCACATCTCCTGTCGTCATAACGACGCTCTCTATACCTCTCCGCGCGTCCAACGAGTCGTCCATCGCTTCAGCCGCTCATCACGTGATGTCTTGGGATCCGTTGGGCTCTCTTTGCGTCTTTGAGTCCAAGAGTTGCTCTTTTAGTGGTATTTCGCGTCTCATAAGTGGCGCCAAACACTCGCTGCGGACGACATGAGAGTCAGCGCAGAGTCGCGGCAGAGGGCGCGCTTCGGCCGCCGCCAGTCGGGCGCCGACTCACCGACACTTCGGCCGCCGTTCGCCGAAGAAGTGGACCGAATTAGGGCCGAAGAAGTGGTCGCAGAGGCGGAGAGCGAGCGACGCGTCGTTTTGGGCCGTAATATATGTGAGCTGTGGTTGTGTTGCTCATGAGTGGGAGTTTTGGTCCCTTTTAGGAGTGAACGCCTTATAAGGTGAGAGACGAGGAAAAGGGAGAAAACGTCGGCCAAAGAGCGACGCGTCTGCCATTGACAGCGAGAATGACCTCTTCGGCGGCGATCGACGCCTTGGATGCGTTGGTGAGCGCGACGACCGTCCAGGAGGTGCTCCGGAAGTACGAGCGGCTGCAGGAAGGGCTGTCTTTGCGTCCATTCGTCGGTCAATTGGAGTTCTTTTGGAAACTCAAACAAAAACTCGTTTCAAAACAATTGCAGAAATTCTCGAAGATTTCGGCGATTCTTCAGAAACTGGAAAAACGCGCGCAAAACAGACAATACCTCGGAAACCGTGCGCTCGTCGGTCAGCGCGTTCTCGTCATCGGCGGCGGGATTTCCGGTCTTCGCGTCGCCACAGAACTCCTTCTTCTCGGCGCTTCCGGTGAGTGCTCTTCGCGTCCGCAGTCTTCGTGTCACGTGACGCCTCTCTCTCTCTCTCTCTCTCTAGTGCTTTGCGTGGAGAAGAGGAATCAGTTTACGCGCAATAATGTGATCCACTTGTGGCCGAACGTCATCTCCGATATGAAGAGTTTGGGCGCAAAGCGCTTCTACGGCCAGTTCTGCGTCGGCGCCATCGATCACATCGCCATCCGCGCGCTGCAACTCATTCTACTGAAGATCGCGCTTCTTCTGGGACTCCGTTTCCGTCCGAACATTACTTTCCAAGAGCTCTGTCCGCGACTTCTCGCCCAAAAAGACGGCGTCTGCGCAGACGCACAACACTGCGACTGTTGCTGTCATTCGCACGGATTCGGCGGTCAGTCACGTGTCCTCTCATTACTATAACTATA